CAAATTCCGACTGTGACACTCATTGGCAGGGCGATCTTGGACAAGTTATCCAATTGCCATTTCCTTCTCTCCCACATCAACCAGAACACCCACTAAGTCTGACCTGCGCATGGCTGTCATGAAACAGACTGGAGACTCCGCACTGGAGGAGGATGGTGCCTGCTGTAGTCATCTCTCTCATCTCCCCCAACAACCAACCCAGCCACTAGGTGCAGCGCCTGGCAGAAAAAGGGCCAATATATGTCCATTTGCAGAACTGAGTTTCATAATCCAAAAATACTCATGTAGGCTTCTACATGAGTAGAACTGCTAAAAGAACTGGGTCCCTCTGCCCGGAGCCCTCAGCCCCTAGAACTTCTGTGTCATTTATGTCACAACCTCAGAATGGTCACCCCTGACCTCCCACCTACAGTCAGGCCATACCTCCCCCACCCACCCTACAAAACACTATTGACAAGGTTTACCTACTTCATCTGTTGGCCTGTACTCCCCACTCTCCAGAATGTGATTCCATGTGAACAGGGACCCTTGTCATTTTAGTTCTTTGCTGAAACTCCAGCACCCAGAATAGTGCCTGAGACAGACACAAGGAATACTTGTTAAATAACAGAGAGGAAGACCATCCAGACAGTTACAACTTCTCAGGCCCCAAGGTTCCTCCTGACGTCCTTCTCCTTCCTCTCTCTCTTCTGAAATGTCCCCATCCTGCCACCCTTTCTACATAAAGGCTCCCTGGCCAGCCCAGCTCAGCATCCCTTTTTCCTTCTCTTAGGGAAGGCCAATAGTCCTTACTGCCTATACAATCCGTGTTGCACTTTTTTTAGACTACCTTAGACTGAGTTATCTTTGCATGTGGCTCTCTTACCTCCCTATATTTTAAGTTTCTAAAGACTTGTTATTTAGCACCTTTACAGAAGAATTTCAAATATATACAATTTCAAAAAACTTGAGCGTTCTTCACAGTACCAAGATTTTTAATTTAAATTCTGATCGTAGAGACAGATAAAATATTACTTTGCTAAGCTGATTATAATAACTGTTCTGTGGTGACTAAACGTAGCTGAGATAAATACTTATAAACTAGCTGATATTCTCAGGTACTACTTGCGGTTTTTAGGAAGGACTATCTGAACCTACTAACTGACCTTAAGGAACTTGTTCTTTATAATTCATTACTGATTTTGTTATAACCTTCTGTCTTCTTCTCTGTCCAGCTTTCAGGTATAAAACTTCTTGCTGCTATAAATATAAACTCTTCTCTCTCAATCTGCTGTGAACAGCGAGGTCAATAGGTTAGAACCTAGGCCTAAAACAAGGGTGAATCAGCACAGAATAGGGCTGTGACGCAGGAAGGAAGAGGGAAAGAAGAGACCCAGTGCTTATTTTGAGCTTACACAGGTGCTCCATAAATCCCCATTGATTAAATGAGTCACCAACTCAGTCGTTCCTCCGCAAGTAGCAGGGAAGTAAACGCCAGCCATGTTGGGAGAGTTGGTACTTACAGTTCCCAAGAGCCCACAGCTTCACAGAGCATGTTTCTATTATCTCACTTGCTCTTGACAACTTTGTGAGGTTAGGTGGCACAAGCATCATCGATATGATGATATTCCTTTTTCAGGCTAGGGAAACTTCATCTCAGAAAGGTGATGACATGAGTTGTCCGAAGTCGCACACCTGGTAAATGCCGAGGCATCCCGTCTTTTTCATTCCTTCCACCAAGCCCGTTTGTAGAAAGCCACTGTTGTTTCTCCAGGTAAAAGAACTTCAGGTAAGGCTCTTAGGTAACTGATAGAGCAAACACTGCTATTATAATCTACACTCTGGAAGAGCATTTGCCAACAGTCATTGCTTACTGCTAACAAGCAAATTCAATTTCTCATTCATCTCCAAAACAAACAGGGGACAGAGATCAAGATGAGAAATACTTCCAAATTTGGCTGTTTCAATGCTATTTTATAATTGTAATTTTTCTGTGGTTCACATTAAAATAGCCTGAAACACCGGACACTAAAAACCCTCCTTGCTCTCTACCTGAAAGCTTAATCTATTCCATCTAAGGAACTTATTTTTCATTGCATAGAGGCTGCTCAGATGTGTAAAAAGTGAAGAAGCTCAATTACAAAACTGGGAATCCAAATTAAACTCCAGTTTAAAATGCCTGATGTATATCCATCTTTGGCCCATGGTAAAATTGCATGCTCCATGGTCGGAGCCAATATGAACTGTGTTCTCACCGCACTGCATTCTTTTCCTTTCTAAAACATTTGTGTGAGTCCTTGTCAATCAATTAATATTTATTGAGGGCCTACTACATGCCAACCATCTAAGCGCTGATCAGCTATTTACTGATTTAATGTTTGTCTTCCCCACTAGACTACAGGCGCCATGAGAAGAGTTACGACTGCTTTTTAGCTCATCACTGTGTGCTACAACCCAGCAGGGAGCCTAATACACAGCAGGGGCTCAATAAACATTAGATGAATGAATGAATATGGGGAGGGGAGGGGAGGAGAAAGGAGACGTGAGGAGGGGAGAGAGGAGAGGCCACTACTTTGTATGTAAAGAAACCAGGGCTTTGCTCTGCCCAAACACGCCTTATGATCCACCAGCGATCTGATGAATTCTGAAAGGCACCACATGCAATGCACAGCTGTAAGTACAGCAGCTGTCATGCAAAGGAGCTGAAGTCCAGAACTATGAAGAATTCAACCCTTTGTTTTTCTCTCTGTCTCATAATGAAAATGAAGTCAAGCCCACTGTCAATCTACCTGTCGGCTCTATGTATTCAACATGCGGCTTTCAGCAATACTAAGTTAACATTGCCTCTGAATGACATTTATGTTGATTCGCTCTCTGACATCACTGCCTGAAAAGATACTACTTAAATGTTTGAGGTCACACATAAGACCTAAATAGAACTGAGTTAATACTTAAAAAAAAAAAAAAAAAAAAGAGACTCCATTTCAGGTCTTTGAAAGCTATAAATTGGTTTTAACTGAGTATTTAATTTAAAAGTAAAAAAGGTTTGACTCATTATTTAAACTGTCCAAAGCTTAAGTCTTAGAGAGCAAACAGATCTCTTTACCAGCAAGCTGTTAAACACAGACTGTAAGTTCCAAGAGAGAGCTTTGCAAAAGCGTAAGTCTTTTAATTAATTAAAACCTAGGATTCTGGGTTATAGGCTGCCCAGAGTAGTACAAAATAATAGGATAATAATAAATATGAACTATTTAAGTCAATACGAAACACCAACAGTCTACGCAGGTATAAAAATGCAGATATTAAGTTCATATATCACTAATAAAACAGAAAGTATATGTTCAAGTTTTTCCCCAAATCCGACTAAGAGAAAAATAAACAGATAAAAAAGCAAAAGAGTAATGACATATGTTCTAAACATGCACACCAAAGTATGCCAAACAGAGAAAAGCGTTAAAGTAAGGTTGCTATTAAACTACAAATCTATTTAAGTATAGGAGTTAGTTATGATTAGTGGCACAGTAAAGAGAGTCCTGTCCTCCCCATCTCCAGCCCCCTACAAATAACAACTTACCTGGAAGGCTGGTAACATTAGTTGTAAACAAAAGGAATACTAAATAAAGGAACAAGTTGAATTACATAAAAAGTTTTCACTGCAAACAATTAAGCACTAAGCCCAATATTAACAAAATCCCAGAACTCAGTTAAAAGTTAAAAAAAATAAATAAATAAAAATAAAAAACCTGGGAATTTTCTAGACTCTGATCATCTGATTCAGGATCAAAAGCACTGAACGCTCTAAAGCAGTGACTAAATCACATTCAATAAATAGACAATGCATATTCAGTAAAAGGCCTACTAACTGTCTCACGGGGAAATTAATTGTATTTCCATTTTGTGGTGATACACAAAGAATATATACTTGAAAAATCAGAACAGACTTCTTGCCTACATTCCTTAAAGTCGATTTTAACATTTTCCTAAATCGAGTTTACGACATGATTTTATTTACAGTATGACTTCCACAACTCGCTTTGCAATGTTCTGGGTAAAGAATAGACTCGTTCGTTCAGATGACTAAAAAAATCTACTTAACACCTCAGGCGAGCAAAAAAAAAAAAAAAAAAAACCCACAAATCTGTATTTGTATTAATAAGAAACTATCATACTGTGCTTTGGCATATTTTCAAACTGGGAATCTATGAACGATTCCTGAATTCACATTAAAATTCTTCATTAAAAAAAAAATCCCAACGTGTCAGTATGCCAGCTGGAAATATGATACAGTCAACCAAACTATTTTCCTACCCAGAAACTATCCCCTTCCTTTTTAAGTGTGACTACACTTTTACCTTTTGTTCGAAATCATCAGAAGTCGTAAAACTATGAGAATTGAGTCAAAACGACAAAACCACACGCTCTCTAACTTCTACATCCCCCTGGGCATCCTTTCGGAAGCCCACAGCGCCCGCTGTCTCCCTGCCCTCCCCGCCGCCTCCTGTCTCTGTCTCTCTCTGTCTCTGCCTCCCCCACTCCCCCACCCTGACTCCGCCGCCGACGCGGCCCGCGTCCTGCGCGGCGGGCCCGAGTCTGCGGAGCCGGGGCTGTCACGCCAGCCGCGAGAGGACTAGAGCGCCCGCCGTGAGCGCAACTGCGGAGCGCGGCTCGGGGTGCCAGCGGGAGAATGTCCGGCCCCGGAGCGGCGTCCGCGCACTTTCCGCCGCCCGGGAGCTAAGTCACAAGTTAGGAAACAGCCGGAGCGCGCGGCGGCCGTGATTCAGCAGCGGGGCCGGCCGGCAGGGCCGGAGGGCGGCGATCGCAGGGCCTGAGCGGGACCGCGGGGCGGGAGCGGGGCCGGGGCCCGGCCGAGTCCGGAAAAGGTCACCGAGACGCCGCGGGCGCCGCCGCCCGAGCCCGCGACCCGCCTCGCGGTCGGGCCAGCAGCGGCGGGGGCGGCAGGGCGGCGTCCCAGACGGGCGTGGCGCCGGGACCGGGCGGGCGGGCGGGCCGGGGGCTCCTACCTTTCCGGCTCTTGGGGGAGCTCCGCTTGCTCCGGGCGCTGGCTCGCTCTTCCTCAATCGCAGCTGCTATCTCAGGGTTGTCTTCCCCATTGTACCAGACCAGGAGCTCCTCGCCCGGCGCGATTGGCTGCGGGGAGAGAAGAGACAAGCGCCGGGCCAATCAGAGCGGCGGTTGTTGGCGGGGGCGGGGCGCGCACCGGGACGCGGGCGGGAGCGGCGCCGATGGCAAACAGCTGTCGGCGGCGTCGCGCGCACCCGGCCGGCAGGAAGGGCTCCCGGCCCCGTGCGGGCCGCGCCGGCGCCCGGAACCCTCTGCTGGAGGGAGGACCGCACCCGCGGCGCGGGGCGAGGGGCGCGGAAGGCCAGGTGACGAGCAGCGGAGCCCGGGTGCTGTCACAGCTTCCTCTTTAAAGCCTCACGACGGCCCACGCACGAGAAAAAATAAAACATGGGACCATTTTAAAAGCTCACGAAATCTAAGTCGAGGAGAAATATAAAGCATAACTGAAAAGCGTGCGGCGTGGAAAGCGGAGTGCTGAAAGATAACGACCAGCGCGCATTCCAGACCAAGAGCAACTTTAACAGGACAACGAGGAGGAACCACGCGCAAGCACTTACAAATGCGCCGCGGTTTCTATCCCAGAGCCGCCAACGGGAGGCCTCCCGGGGCCACCAACCTGCTCGGGTCCAGGGAGGTCAGTGCCTCGCCCTTCGGACCGGACATCAAACTTCCACATTTTAACTTTTAAATACAGCAGGAAGTATTTCCCATGTATTATGCTCCTAAACCATCACATTCTTAAGCCACGTATGACTGGAAGCAGTGAGGGCCACCATCAAATTGATTCCACCCAGAACAAGATCCCGAAGATCCACTGAGTGCAAAGTTCACACCCCTAGAATTTGGGGAAACAGCTTATTGGTTTCTCTCACAGCGATTGATCTGTGAGAAAAGTTTCAAGGCTATCAATACAAGTAAAATTCTATCTAAAATCCACTGAATACAATAAGAATCCATGAGTCCAGCCTGATGTGAATGAATGCAGGAATGACCAAGTAAATAAAAAGGAAAGCTCTTCCTTAAAGGAGATCCTTTAAAACTGATCAGTAAAAAAGAAATGTTGGAATTAGAAAATAGTCATTTGGCAATCATCACAGTAATGATTAATTCAGGCAAGAATCATAAATGGATGCTAAAAGTAGGTAAAAGTTTGAGGAGTAACAAAATACATAGCCTCAGAATATCTCCCCATAAAATATTTATTTATTACAAAAGAAAAAAACAACACTTTTGTAATAAGACATATCAACATCATATGTCTCCTGATATAATGCACAGAAAACAGAGCATCACTTCTGGTAGATTTCTGCCCAAAATGCATACATTGAATCTAATCATGATGAAACATAAGAGAAGCTCAAACTTTGGGACATTCTACAAAATAACCAACCAGTTCTCAAAACTGAAAGGTTGTAAAAAAACAAAGACTAAGGTACCAGCCAAACACATGAGACATGACAATCCAATGTGAAAACGTTTTCTTTTCCTACAAAGAGATGACTGGAACAATGGACAGAATCTGAGTCAGGTGTACATATTACCTAATAAAACAATGTGTTGCTGTTAGCTTCCTGATTTGGATCTTTGCACAATGGTTATCTAAGAGAGTGATCCTGCTTTTTGTTTTTTTCTTTTTCTTTTTTTTTTTGCAGGGAGGGAGATTCCACCTACAGTTTAGAAACAAAATAGTTCCTCACTTCAACATACCTTCTAGTCTAGATAAAGCCCCTAAAACTAAATATTACTTGGTTTAATTCACTGCAGAACTGTTTCTATAGTCCAAATTTTAAAATATTCTAAATTATTTAAAAGAAAAGGCAGCTGTTTCCTTGGCTCTCCCCCACCCCTAAGAAGGCTAAAATCTGCCTTTTTCTTACTTTTGAACCAATACATGATTTCCCTTCTTGAATCAGTTAAATCTAACCAAAAAACTTACTTTAATATATAAGATATTAATGAGTTAAAACAGCCATCACAAACACCTTTTGGCATTCTGATGAGCTAATCTGTTGAAACAGCAGGCTTATGTTAAAGTAAACTGTTTCTAGATTATATAAATTCCAAATGTACAGTTTCTCTATTTTTTGTTATAAGTCACATATTTAAGAAATGGTGCTGTCAACTAATACTTGAAATGACTAGAGTTCTCAGAAATATGTAAAGTCTTAAAACCAATGCAAAAAAGAATATGGGAAGGAGTGAAAACAAACGCACTCCCCATTAATTCCCCACTGAAATGACATAACCAGAGAACTGGCTAGAAGATACCACCGGACATTTTCAAGATACCTCTAAGAATAAGAACTTAAGTTTCCCTGTTCACTCCACTGCAGTTGTCAGTGAAGTGATAACTGAACTAGCAACTTGGTGAGGGCGCTCATAAACTCTACTTGGGAGGGTACTCATGTCCTAAGATATTCTTGTTGCTGCAAAACACACAAAGTAAAAACATACCAGAATCTGTATCACAAATCAAATATAAAATTTCTAGCACTGGTGAAGTGTTAGATCAAGAGGAACATATTTGTTAGCTGCTAAACAGCCTTCAAAATTATTAGTGGGCATGGTGGCTCATGGCTGCAATTCCAGAACTTTGGGAGGCCACGGTGGGCAAACTGCTTGAGCACAGGAGTTTGAGACCAGCCTGGGCAACATGGCGAAACTCTGTCTCTACTAAAAATACAAAAACTAGCCAGGCATGGTGGTGTGTGCCTGCAGTCACAGCGATTCGGGAGGCTGAAGTGGGAGATCACTTGAGCTTGGGAGGCGGAGGCTGCGTAAGCCAAGATTGTGTCACTGCACTCCAGCCTAGGAGACAGAGTGAGACCCTATCTTAAAAATAAATAAATAAATAAATAAAAATAAACAAGTAGTAGAAAACAAAACACCACAAAAATTATTAGTAACTTGAAATGGTTATATTACGGAGCTATATATGCTTCGCAACTTTATATTAAAACAGCTACACCAATAGACCCTATGAAGAGGAAAATAATAATTTTTTTTTAAACCAAGGCTTGTTTTCTTCCATACTATATTGTGTTTTTTTCTTCTTCTGTACAGGTTAGCATTTTTAAGTCAAATTCAGAAGAAAAGAAAAATTAATCCCTTCAACAATGGAAATATAAATCCACATTAAAAAAATAAAGTCAAAAGACCAAACAACCCCTTTTTAAATATATTTTGATATTAAAGAAAAAATTAACAACATTTTAAACTCTTCCCACTTTCTCTTTGGGTTCAGACAGGTATAAAACCAAGAATCTGCTCTATATTCTCTTGTTTAAACATCAGCATATATAAATAAACTTGAAAGTTTACCAAACAAATTGGGAAGAAGCAAGGGTTCTAATATTCCTTATACTGGATAAGGAATAATAGAAAAATGTGTCAGAAATATTAGAAAATTAGAGAAGTATTCCAGAACCACTCAAAAACACAAAGTGCATCCAGTCATACCCACCTACAATCCAGTCCCCAGCTCGGTCTTTTAAAAAGTCATCGGTCAGCTCTCGGCCTCAACTCTCCAATGGGTGAACAGCACTTAAGCCTAAAACTCACCCATAGCCGGGCGTGGTGGCTCATGCCTGTAATCCCAGCACTTTGGGAGGGCCCGAGGCGGGCGGATCACCTGAGGTGGGAGTTCGAGACCAGCCTGACCAACATGGAGAAACCCTGTCTCCTACTAAAAAAATACAAAATTAGCCGGGCATGGTGGTGCATGCCTGTAATCCCAACTAACTTGGGAGGCTGAGGCAGAGAATCGCTTGAGCTGAGGAACGGAGGTTGCTGGGAGCTGAGATCGTGCCATTACACTCCAGCCTGGGCAACAAGAGAGAAACTCCGTCTCAAAAAAAAAAAAAAAAAACCTCACACATCCCTGTGGACCTCACCAGCCTCATCTCCTAAGATTCCTCTCCTCCTCCCTCCAGCCACATGGGCTTTTGTTCTATTCCTTTAAAATAAAAAACAAAAGCGGTGGCTCACGCCTGTAGTCCCAGCACTTTGGGAGGCCAAGGTGGGCAGATCACGAGGTCAGGAGTTGGAGACCAGCCTGACCAATGTGGTGAAACTCCGTCTCTACTGAAAAACAAAAATTAGCTGGGTGTGGTGGCACATGCCCGTAGTCCCACCTACTCAGGAGCTGGGCAGAAGAATCGCTTGAACCCAGGAGGCAGAGGTTGCAATGAGCCGAGATTGCGCCATTGCACTCCAGCCTGGGCGACAGCACGACTACATCTCAAAAAAAAAAAAAAAAAAAAAAAACATAGCTTATACTGACTCCAAAGCCTTTGCTCCTACCACTCCTCTTCCTGGATTGCTCTTCAGCCAGACCTTTGCGTAGCAGCTCCTTCCTATCCAAGGAGTGGGGTTCAAACATCTTTCCTCAGGAAGGCCTTCCCTGACTCACTGGAGACAAAGCAGCCCTCTCCTACCTAGCTAGTCTCTCATCACATTTACTGTCTTTAACACACTAATCGCTACCGGAAATTACTTTCTTATTTACTTACTATCTGCCTCTTCCCCTGTAACACGGAACATCCACCAGACCAGAAACCTTGTCTGTCCTGTTCACGTACCATAGGAGAGAACTCGGTACACAGCAGACTCTCAGAAATATTCACCAAACTAACGAACAGAGGAATGAAATAGATAGCAGACTTAACAGCTAACTTTCAGGAATTTTTAAATCGTTTTTAATCATATTACAACAAAACCAGTGCTGAGATTTCCCAATTATCTGGGTGTAATAATAAGCTGAGAAGATACAAGCCCCAGAGCATCACATGTAATTTCTTAGAAAACCTAACCCACGGAACACTTAATCTAGAAGAATAGAGTTAAGATAATCACTAGTAAAAAACCTGAGAGGCTTTGTACATACTTGAGCAAATATCAAAGATCAAGAACTTGGGGAGGTCTTCAAAAATCAGAACTATGTTATTTCGGACAAAGGTAAAAATAATAGTACTAGTATAGCTAGTATACACTTGAGCGACTTACACTGAACTAAGAACTGTTCACAGAACCTTATATATATATATAGGCTTGTTAACCTTCACAACATATGAGGCTTTTATTATCTCCATTTTATGGATGAGAAAACTAAACACAGAGACATCCTTCGCATGTCCACATATCTAGAAGCCAAAATTTGCTCACAAGACAGTCTGCTCCAGAGTCCCCACTCCTGACCGTGACACCATACCACCTTGTGAAAAATAACAGCAATCATTTATTAGCACTTACTAGGTGCTGGAGCTCTATCTGTATTCACCATGCAATCATCACAACAACCCTATGAGGTCAATACCATAATTACACAGGTATCTTACAATGAGGGAGTTGAGGCACAAAGAGGTCTTAGCTAAGGTTACAAAGCTAGTCCAGGTCACACTTTTTGCCTTGGGTCACAGCAAGTCAAGATCTAAAACAGGCAGTCTGGCCTCGAGTTCACTCTCCCAACCACTATCTATCTTGCTTCTCAGTGTTTCTGTGAATTTGCATCAGAGATGAACACATTTTTAACTTGAAGTATAATGAAGGAATTGCAGTGTCCTAATATCTACATGAGCTCGCATGGCCTTCAAAACTTCCTTCCTGCCGGGCGGGTGGCTCAAGCCTGTAATCCCAGCACTTTGGGAGGCCAAGCGGACGGATCACGAGGTCAGGAGATTGAGACCATCCTGGCTAACATGGTGAAACCCCATCTCTACTAAAAATACAAAAAATTAGCCGGGCGTGGTGGCGGGCGCCTATAGTCCCCAGCTACTTGGGAGGCTGAGGCAGGGAATGGCGTGAACCCAGGAGGTAGAGCTTGTAGTGAGCCAAGATCATGCCATGCACTCCAGCCTGGGTGACACAGCGACACTGTCTCAAAAAAGAAAAAGAAAAAAATCTTCCTTCCTATTACCTTGTTGTCTCATATTCATCCCCTAGTGAGTATTTCATCTCCACTAAGATTCTACCTCACTGATTCAACTATATGTATTTCTCACTTTAAATACTTTTGAGAAACAGAATGCATTCTTGAATCCAACTTCAAACTCCAATATAAGAAAATTGTAGAGTAATACCTACTAGAAAAGCATGCTACTACGATCTAGCAGAATAAAAATTGAAAACAGGTTTTTAAAGTCCTAAATAAGAAAGTGTAACAAAAAATCTGCAGGGATTGGACACAAGGACCTGGGTATAAACGTGGTAAAAGTCAGTCTAGTTGGCTAACAATGTCAGGAAAGATGCAGCAAAATTAAACAGCTACAGGTTAACTAAACTTCCAGAAGGCCTACTGCCACTCCACTAACAAAACACAGCACACTGCAAAGCTGGCCACAATTTGAAATATGTGCTCATCAAAAGTGTTCAACTCCATGGAGATCATTTTTCTCGTAGACTATTCTCCAACGTGTGACATTTTTAATGGAAGTGAATAAAGAGAAATTTGCCTTATAGCAATTTTGCCTATCTAATGCAAAAAGCAACAACCATCCATCTTAACAGGCTTGAAATTTTGCCTTAGAATATCTCCATGTATAATGTGAGGATCTGTCTTTTTTTTTTCTTTTTTGAGACGGAGTCTTGCTCTGTCGCCCAGGCTAGACTGCAATGGCATGATCTCGGCTCACTGCAACCTCTGCCTCCCGGGTTCACGCCCTTCTCCTGCCTCAGCCTCCCGAGAAGCTGGGACTACAGGCGCCCGCCACCATGCCTGGCTTATTTTTTGTTTTTAGTAGAGATGGGGTTTCACCGTATTAGCCAGGATGGTCTTGATCTCCTGACCTCATAATCTGCCCACCTGGGCCTCCCAAAAGTGCTGGGATTACAGGCATGAGCCACCAAGTCTGGCCGGATTTGTCTTCTTAAAGAATGTGACCCATGAAAATGAGGGAGACATGGCCTTTGCTCCACGAAGAAATGCAGTAACACTCCACGTTTCCTCACATTCATGTCCCTGAATGTACTCCATAACCTCATTACCAATCCTAAAACATGACTTTCTTCTTTTCAACAATTAATATCTCCAAGGAAAAATTTGGCAGAAGGAAGAAACATGTTCTGTTCAATTTCTATTCTCAATAAAATTTAAGGAAAAGAAAAGCTAATCCAAGGCTGCATTAATATCAAAGACTAACAATGTGTATTCAGTTAACACAGACCCACCATACCTACTGATAGTTTCTTACAGTTGGATAAATCTGCCAGACAGTTCCCAATGCCTCTGTGTCATCGGAGGAGGGAAGCAGCTGCCACATGCTTAACTCATCAGTATCTTTAAAGATGCACTGTGTAATTACTTAACACGATCTTCATGCTTTAGCTCCCTGACACACACAGCAACCATATATTAAAACACAGAATCTTGAGAGTGTGGATGAAGCACTTCCAAATATAATCCTTTCCAGGTCTGCAAAATCATTGTCAGTCACAACTAAGGACAGCATTAGAAAAACATAAGCAAGCCCAGGCATTGTGGCTTGTGCCGGTAATCCCAGCACTTTGGGAGGCTAAGGCAGGTAGATCGCTGAGCCCAGCAGTTTGAGACCAGCCTGGATAACATAGCAAAGCTCTGTCTTTACAAAAAATTCAAAACTTAGCCAGGTGTGGTGGCATGTGTCCATAGTCCTGGCTACTCAGGAGGTTGAAGTCTGAGGATCACCCAAGCCTGGGGAGGCTTAGGCTGCAGTGAGCTGTGATGGAGCCCCTGCACTCCAGCCTGGGCAACAGAATGAGACCGTCTCAAAAAAAAAAAAAAAAAAGGAAAACATAAGCAGTGTAACTAACAGTAAATTAATTCTAACACTGTTACCTTTAAAGTTTTATAGTAAATGGCTCTGTTGATTTCCAGTGGGAATAAATTTTGCTCTTCTCCTGAGCAAGCCCAATTCACATATCGCAGCCAGTTTCCCTTCTCTGGATCAGTGGCATCAATGCACATCCATCCCAAATTTGGGTAATATACCTTGAAAATGGAGAAAAATAAAAAACTTTTGTTAAAATAGGAGTATCTTTAAAATGTTTCCATTTTTAACTTTTAAGGATAATTCTTTTTCATTATATGCAAGTACTCTATATAAAGCATTTCATAAAAACAAAACAAGCGACAGAGAAAAGACAAATTCAAGGTGAAAACTGGAATTCGGAAGTGTAATTCTCACTATTTTTCTACTTAGGCTTGTTTCCACCCGCCCCACCACCCCCCTCCACACACACACACTCTTAAAGAGCTACAGTTAACATGCTTGGTACCTCCAAATGCTTTACAAATATGTACACAGAGACAAATGACAACCATGCTCCGTAAAGTGTGACTTAGAAAGGAAAACAGCTTGCAGTGGTGTTCAGCAGCACAAAGATCCCAAGCTTTCTGGGTTGCTCCGCTAATCGAGTATGGCACCTGGCCCCGCCAGGCTATACAATTCAGCAGGTCCCTTTCTGGCAGGGTTGACAGGGACTTCAGGAGTGAACACGCATTGTGAACCAGGCACATGGGTGACAGGATATGATGCTTCTGCAAACTCAGCTGACCCTTAAAATAGACTCCATCCAAAGCATCTGCAAGGACGAAGGGGCAATGGAACAGACTCTGGGAAATATCAGTGGCCTTCAAAAAGAAAAGGACCAAAACTTCAACCCCTTTCAGGAGTCAAATCAAATCTCCTCTTGCAAGAAGCCTTCCCTTCTCACCCACACCAATTCCTCCCACAGAGGCTTCCAGCACTTATTTATCATCCTTCATTTTAAAAGAACATCTATTTGGCAACTATTTTTAACTTTAATTTTGTGTATACATGCATATATATATATACACATTTTCCCAAAACCAGTCTACAAAACACTCGAGTAGGCACTGAAACAGAACTGCAGAATCAACTGGCTGACAGACGTGCTGGGCAAAAGAAATGAGTCTTTTACTTTATTTTTAGGAAGAAAGGATATAATCTAGATGTTTCCATTTTTTCCTCATTATTCCCATCATTCATGCCTTCGTCCCTCCCCTCCCCACATTAATCACCTCTCTTCACTGCACCTTTCCTTCTGGAACAAAGCTCCCACTCTGCCCACTGATAGTGAGGATGCTGCTCTTCTGGGCATGCCTGGGTGTCTAGGCCTGTGATTGCCAAGCGGCAGCATCCACCTTACCGGGCCCTAACACTGCCTTCTTCCTCTGGAAAGTCAAACATCAGGCATAATGCTACATGCCTGACATATTATCTCATTTAACCCTATGTAGCAGGCTTATTAGCTCTCCTTTCAACATGTAAAAATTGAGGCTCAAAAGTTAAATAGCTTTCCCAAAGTCACCTGTTTAACTGTCATAAAGAAGGGCTTCAACTCAGATCTGCTTGTCTTCTATTTATCACTGCCTTCCTTGACCATCCTGGTTAACTGAACTACCAACATCTAATGAGCATCTACTGTGTAACAGGTACCATGCTACAAGGTGCATTGTAGTTACTTTAATCACCATAGGCACCAAGGAGAGTATCTGTACACAGTAACTTACACAGACATTATTCCCCCATCTGCAATATCAGCTGCCCCTGGGCTCAGGGATAGTAAGTTTCACTTTAATTTACTGCAGTGATGACAGAGTCCCACTCACTCCCCACCCGAATACTGGCACAGCTACCAAGACTGATGAGACTGCAGAGACAAACACAGAGAGAGTTGCCAAGAAAACCACACAGTTCACAAGGTAGCTGGAGTCTATCTACCTGCCTCAGGATAAAAATACAGGTTGTGCCAGAACTTCCTGGCTCTCAGGTCAATACAGCCATATGCAAAAAGCAAAGTGTTACAGTTGAGTAAATTTTTTATTCATACGTAACTCATTTTGTTTCAGAGGAGACTAAGGCATCTTCTAAGTCATACTGACTGATGTACAAAAAGGGAATAGTTGTTTTTGTAGAAAAAGATGACACTTCAATTTTTAGAAATAGGCCAAGAAGTAATTCACAAACGAATACACGTAGCCAAAAGCTCGTAATAGTAAACTCAGTTAATAAAAAATAACTTGAAAGTTAAAACAGTTTTAACCTTGTAAATGGGCACACACAAAAAATTTTTCTTAAAGATAGGAAAGGGTGTGGAAAAAAACAGATATTCCCCCAAACACTGCTGATCAGAAAACACATTGATTTTGGAAAGAATTTAGCAGTACCTGACCAAAAAAAAAAAAAAAATCTTTAAAATATACACACACTAACCAGCACATACACTTGTAGGAATTCATTCTAATGAGATCATTCGACAACTGTACCCAGATGTATATACAAAAATGTTCACAGTAGTGTGGTTTAGTGTAAATTGCTTCTAATTCATGGCTAAATGGAAAACAATATGGAATTAACTCAGTAAATTATGGTCCATCCATATAGCTGAAACCTAAGACACTAAAAAGTACTGTGGTACAAATGATTAATTAGATTATATGGCAAGATTTATTTCCTATTAGATATACCGATATACTTGAAAACTTTTTCCAATAAACATGCATTATTTCTGTAATTAGAAGAGAGCAAAGATAACCAGATGTTGTGGAAATACATTTATCAGCATAAAGGCATTCACAATACATTTGATTGAATAAAGCATTTATAGGCCAGGCATAGTGGCTCATGCCTTTAATCCCAGCACTTTGGGAGGCCGAGACAGGTGGATTATGAGGTCAGGAGATCGAGACCATCCTGGCTAACACGGCGAAACCCCGTCTCTACTAAAAATACAAAAAAATTAGCCAGGTGTGGTGGCAGGCACCTGTAGTCCCAGCTACTTGGGAGACTGAGGCAGGAGAATGGCGTGAACCCGGGGGGTGGAGCTTGCAGTGAACCGAGATCGCGCCACTGCACTCCAGCCTGGGCGACAGAGTGAAACTCTGTCTCAAAAAAAATAAATAAATAAAAAATAAATTAAAAAGCATTTATAAAAAGTATTTTTAAAGTATGTCATTTTTGTTTTAAGTATATGAACACATGAATATGAAAAGAAAAATAATCTGAAACTAAATACATTAAAATGTCAGCAATGGTTTTCTCTGAGAAGGGGGATAATCCGTAATTTTTATTTTCTTTAATTTTCTATCTTTCCCCCACTGATTTGGTATATTCTACATGGTAAAAATGGGAGGAAGGTGGGAAAAGCAAGTTAGTCTTCTGAATGAAAACCTAAGTTTGAATGAAGGTAGCCAAAGGTCTGAATGGTCTGCTGAATGCTAAGCTAAAATCCTCCTCATCTTCCTCTTCCTCCACAGATATTTCTAAAAATCTTACAGCTTTCACATTTTTATTGAGAGTTCAACTTATGTTTAAGAAACTGAGATTAAAATGTGTTTTCATACAATTCCCATCTTACTTGGTCAAACCTTTGTTTCCAATCAAATTAATTTCAGTGATTGACACACCGGCCCTATCTCCAAAATGTGACATAATTTTGCTTCCTCTGACTATCAATGAATAACTAATTTCCAGATCTTTATAAGGGCCAACAAATATTCAACTGACTTGATCCCAGAGAAATACTACCTTATAATCAATTATCTTTTTATTGATTTAGTCTATAAAACAGTCCTTTTTAAAAAGGCAAAGGTATCTAATTATGTACCATGAAAAATGAATTTTGACAAGTTAACTAACTTTCAAATTCAAACTCCCTACTTCGAAAGAACGAAGAAAGAGAGGGACCACTGAACCAAGCAGTGGGCTAGATAACTTACATGTTATCTAACTCTTTTAAGAATTTATAAAATAGGCCTGGCATGTTGCCTATAATCCCAGCACTTTGGGAGGCCAAGGCGGGTCGATCACCTGAGGTCAAGAGTTCGAGACCAGCCTGGCCAACATGGTGAAATCCTGTCTCTACTAAAAATACAAAAAATTAGCTGGGCATGGTGACAGGCACCTGTAATCCCAGCTACGCAGGAGGCTGATGCAGGACAATAGCTTGAACCTAGGAGGCGGGGGTTGCAGTGAGCTGAGATCGCCCCATTGCACTATAGCCTGGGCAACAAGAGCAAAAGCTCCGTCTCAAAAAAAAAAAAAAAAAAATTTATAAAATAACTATGAAATATCACTAAGCTCCTTTATAAGTAAACAAACTTATGGAAGGTTGGTAACTTCAACAGGACAATTAAGTCACTAAAAATCACAGCCAGGATTCAAACCTGATCCCCTCATTTCTTCCTATGCCAAAATAAAACAGATATGCAGACAGGCAAGGAGTTCTCAGCTTGCCTTTCTATTTTCCCTCTTTCCAGACCCTTCTTTCCATCCCTAACCTCCCACAAGTTGGTCAAGCCCTACCTCCTTTCTGCCTCTACCACCTAACAGAGATTGAGTAGTAATTCTTGTCAAGCAGAATGTAATTTTCATACCACTCAATTTCCATTCAATTTAATCCAGTTATAAAATAGCTATAAAATAATCTAAATTCAAATTTTAGTGCACGTGCCAATTTAAATACACATTCAAAATTAAATATTTTATGCTATATAGAGAAAGGTTTGCAAAGAACAAACCAAATTATTAGTTACCTCAGGGGATAGGAGTGAGGGTTATAACTTATAGCCTTCCTTATCATCTACCTATTACATGTATTAATTCAAATTTATAAATTAAAAAAAAATTCTGATTCAACTATTGCAAACATACCATCATTGGAATCCTCAACTGTTCACCTATAAGCACCTCACTCAATCAAAACTTACAGTAACCAGCTTATTTTGATAGAAACCACTCAGGAATTAGGACAAGGCAATGAAGAAACCTCCTCATACTATAGCAACTCCCACGTTGAGAGAAAATTTCTCTTCACTCAAACCAGCTCTCCAAAGTTAGAGTCTACAGCAATAAAACCATTTCTGCTGGCTGTTCTCTGGATTTCCCTTCCACTGCACGTAACCTGGGGCTCTAACACATGGAGACAGAATCTCTCTTGGAGACCTGAGCTCCCATTTCAGTGGGC